CCCCCCACTTTGGAACATCATTTCCCCAGAATTTAGAGGCTACATAAGGCTACCCTTGAACAACATTTAGAGCATTCTAGCTTTTAGGAAGGGCCTGAAGACTTGGCTGTGCCATCATCTCTGCGGTCCAGCTGTAGTGGTGAGCCTTGGCAATGGCTATATTAAATGGATATTTGATTTATATTCACTAGCTGTGTTGTTTTATTAATTTTTTAATTGTGATTTTAGGATTGTTGTATGCTGTTGTGTTTATTTTTTACTATTTCTGTTGTTTTAATTGTTGTGAGCCGCCCAGAGTCACACTTGTGAGATAGGCAGCTATACAAATGTAATAAATAAACAAACAAACAAGATAATATACTTTGGAAAATATTTCCTACCTTCTCTGATTAGCTGAGAGTACAAATGTAAACTAATGGGTTCTTTTTCATGCATATTAATGAAATAAGATATAATATGGGACTTAATCTATGTTGGAAAAGCCAATTGTTCGATTTGTGTAAATCTACTTTCAATTTTGGCTTCTGATTTGTAGTGTATCAGCAGTGTGCAATGTAATTATATGGAGAACTCTGTGTTTTTTTTTTCTTTTCCTTACTGCGCTTTTATCAGTATAGTGGAAGTATGGACATTTTTACAGGTGTGTTGTTAAAATTCAACTCCCAGCAGTCCCAGACATTGTGGGCAATAGTTAGGAAAAGAGAGGACACTTTAATACACATACCAGTATTATTTATTGTATTTGAATCTCACAATTTCTTCTGAGTGGTCAAGGTAACATACATTGTAGTCTCTCTGATATTATTTCCTCAACAACCCTGTGAGATGGATAGGCTTGGGAGAGAATAACTGGTCCAAACTCATCCAATGACTTCTGTGGTTAAATCGGTACTTTGGACTGAACCTCAACAGTCAAAGTCCGATACTTTAATAACTATATTATGCTAGCAAGAAGGGAAATAGAGAGTGGTAAGAAACCTAAACATCCAGTTTGCGTGTCTGGAGGTTCTTTATCATTCCCATAAAAAAAAAATGTGAATTATCCCAGGTTTGGTTTAAAAAACGATTACGTAAGAATATAAGCAGTACCTTGCTAGATCGGACCCCTGGCCCATCTAGTCCAGCAGTCTGTTCACACAGTGACCAACCAACAGCACAAGTCCACTGGTCTCCCACCAGGTGGCCTTCAGAGGCAGTCACAAGGCTAACAGTCATTGATCCCCATGACTTTCATGAATGGGTCCAGTACTTTTTTGAAGCCAGCCAAGCTGGTAGCTAGCACATCTCATGGTAGTGAATTCCAAAGTGTAATTACACGTTGTGTAAAAAAAAAAAAATCCTTTTGTCTGCCCTGATTCTTCCAGGATTCATTGGATGACCTCTGGTTCTAGTATTTTAGGAAGGGGATAATAGCTTCTCCTTTTCCTTATGTCATTGGTTGTCCTGGCTTTTAAATTCCTTATCTAATGAAGAATGTTGGGCATAATGAAGGCATATTGCCTCTCAAGAAATTGTCGTTAAAAAAACTATTTCAGTTAGGTTCCTACTAACTTTCTCTCCGCGATTAAAAGAAAGAAGACAAATGAGTTATAGCATAAGCTATCACGGACAACTGAAATTGCATCTGAAGAATATGAAAGTTTATTTTGTAATTAAACTCTTCGTCTCTAAGATGTCGCAAAAAGTTAGAGTCATTCTGCAGCAAGAAGTAACGCGATCATGTGCTGCGCAGGACGTACAAGCCCCCACACACGTACTGACTTAATGTTGATTTGTATCTCACTAGATACCGTTAGATGCAAATCCAAGGAAAAAACAAATCATGGACCTATCGCTATATGCTTTCTCTACCAACCAAAGAACCAATTTACTCTTTCCATTCTCAATTCTCCTCCCCAGCCCCGCCTCTGAGCGACGACGATCCCATAACTCCGCCCTCTTATTTTCTCCCCTGAACAGGAACTGGCCCTCCTCGCGCCCCGTATCGGGCTTACTTCCGCTTCCGCTCCTGTAGGAAGTCGTTGGATTTCCGGCGTTGGTCTGCGAGTGAGTGAGCAGGATGGTGAGCGATGGGTTCTTGGGGTCTGCGGGTGGGCTTCTTAGAGCCCGTTTGGAGCCCCTTCCAGTATCCACAGTGGGAGATGGGCCGGATCGCCTTGGGCCAGGGCGCCCTTTCTCCCCACCGTCGGTGCTTTTTGCGCTGTTATGCGATGTCATGGTCACATCGCTTCCGCAGCTGAGAAGTACGGGAAAGTGGTGCTGGGTGGGATAGGCCAAAGCAGCCCTGGATATGAGGTGGCGATGACGGGAAGAGCGCCTGGATTTTCTTACCGTCTTCGGGTGACCGTGAGGCAGGTGCTAAGGAAGCACAGCTCCCGTGAGGTTACCGGGTTCTTTTCTGCTTTTCTTATCCAACGTTTAACCAGTAATTAATCCGATTGCCTGGGATCAGTGAAATGTTAACGAATCGCACTGACTTTGTTTGCGTGGCGTATTTACTCAGGAATAATTCAGTTATGATTATGAACTCCATTTGCACAGAACACTAGCTGTCTTTAAATGATCCACAGAACCATGGTGTTTTGTAGTGTATGTCATTAGTTTATATTTGTGTGAGCCCTGAAATTAGGCTAATCCAGTTAACCGTTGATAACTAGAGAACACAGTTTCTAATAATAAACTAACCACATGAGCGGGATTTGTACGGTCTGCTGTGCTAATAATATGTGATTGGTTAGTTTGTAGTTCAGTAATTTGTAAGAGCATAGCTACTGAGCCACAAACTAGTTAAGCCACATTTTAATCTTCTGTTTTGTGCAAACCTAGCATTGTTTCCTCAAATCTTTCTTTAAATGCTGGTCTATTGTCTAATGTGCAAGCGTTACACAGTATATAGTTCTGTGAATATACTTTTTTCATATATACGTATATAGAGATACACACAGTGCATTATATTTATAGACATATTTGTGTGATATGAGAATGTTTTAATCTCTTTTTATATCGGAGTTGCATCAGATTGCTAACAATATTAAAACAGACATACACAAAAATTCTTGTTTATTGCTCTTTGGGCCAGCTTCAAGCTACATACAGCAGTTAAGTGGGTCCTAAGGGTATATTGCTATTTGTTCCATTAATTGTGTTAAGTATTATTTATGTGTCCTTAAATGCACAGGTACTTTGTCTGAGATTTTTCAACCAAAATAAATATAGTGCTTGTAGAAATAGTTGTTTAAATAAATGGAAATACTATCTTGTGATTTCATCCAAAACTAACTGATAAATTAGTTGCTGCAGATAGTTTAGGATGTTTAAAGTATAACCTCCCTCCCCATTCTTATTACAATATTTGCCTATCATTTTGTATACAAAATGTTTGTATTCTGTTTTTCAGAATTGTTGCTGAAATGGCAGCCACCAAAAGGACTGTTAGAAAATCACCTCTCAGTTATGCTTAGAAGTTCATTTCATTGAACTGAATGGGACCCAGGGTGAAATCCAGTGTTTTGCCTATATGGGTGTCTTCTTGCATATCAGAAACATCTCCTTATCTTTGTCCTGTAGCATTTCCCATTCTGTTCTGGAATGTTTTCTGGAACAGTTTTTTCAGGGCATCAGAAGAATGAAAGGGAAATTACTTCTTTCTTCATTTTATTGACAGTTCTGTTAGAAGGAAAAACTGAACTTGAGTTTGTACATAGTTTATGGTTAAGTAGCCTTTTTTTTTCCTTTTCAGAATTTCATTTATCTTTTGTCTCTTTGCATTAGGGTCAGAGTCAGAGTGGTGGACATGGTCCTGGAGGTGGCAAGAAGGATGACAAAGTAAGGAAAAATAACTTTTGTCTGTTAAGAGAATATTTTTAGAAAATTTCCTTGTGAATAGAAAAGCTCAAAATATATATATTTTCCCTCAGTTGCCCTTATTATATAAAAACTCAGATAATCAAGTATTGTGTTTTTGTGTATTATGAACTGATGTTGAATTTTCGTTGTAGTGGTTTAGTTTTCAGAATCATGTAGTTGCTTTTATTCTATTGTGTATGGATAATTAGTCAATTTAAATATGCCATGATGTATGTGTCTTTCTCTTTCATTTTTATTAACTATAGTTTGTTATTTAATCTAGACCCAATGAACTATGGTTCTGCTCAACATTTGAAGCTGTCTTGTTTCTAATAACCGCAGTTTACTCCAGCCTAATGCTTTCCAGACCTGGGAGTTCAGTGTTCATACCTCCCCTGTAGGCACGCTGATAATAATAATAATTTATTAAGCCTGTATGCCACCAGACTCCCAGTGACTCTGGGCAGCTCACAACAATAAAAGAAATTACAATAAAACCAACAAAACATAAAAGATAAAAGATGGAAAGTGCAACAGACTGGATGGAGTGAAGCAAGGTATCTCACTCTCCCTTGCCAAATGCCTGGGTAAAGAGCTACGTCTTCACTGCTCTTCTAAACAACAACAGAGTGGGGACCATCCAGATCTCTGGAGGAACCTCATTCCAGAGGGCAGGTGCTGCTACAGAGAAGGTGTATTTCTGGGATCCCGATAGATGACATTGTTTAATTGAAGGAATCCGGAACACAAGATCGAATTGGCCGGGCAGATGCTATGGGAGACAGGCAGTCCCTCAAGTAACCAGGCCCTATGCCATGGAGAATTATGGAACTTAAAGTCCCAATTTATCTAGAAGGCAACATTGTAACTTTGAAGTTTGGTTTAGATAATAGGTTAAACTGGTAAACTTGAGAGCTTCCAATCTTCTTCCAAAGGCTGTATCTGTGGAAAGGAGGAATTGTGACTGTAGTGTTGTAGCTTATTGGTCAAAAACTGTAATTTAATTTCATGGCTAAGCTAGGTAACTTAATCATAAAATATTGTTGCTAGTATTATATGTTAATGACAATATACATGCAGCTTATAATTGAGATTCTGTGTTCTGTAGTTCAGAAACTAAGTGCTTTTTTAAGCAAATAAACTAGTCTTTTAACTGTTTTTTGTCAGGTCAGTACTTTGCTACCTTGGCTTTATGTCCTGATATATAAAACATCTACTTTGTTTTCTGTCTATTGTTTATTATTTGCCCCAATCTGTTATGACTCTGAGCAGCTTATAGAATATCATCTAAAAAAAGTACAAGCAAAGAATTATAGGTAATCCTCATTTAGCAACTGCCTGGTACAGTGACTGGTCACAGTTATGATGATGATGAAAAGTAACTTTGCAACCAGTCCTTGCATTTACGACCTTTACAGGTCTGGAAAGCAAAGGAAAGCTGAAGTAAAATCGTAAGTGCAATCAAGGGTACACTTAGCGACCACTTTCATTAATGACCTAGTTGCTGGTCCCAGTTGTCACTAAACAAGGGCTACCTATGCATCATCAAAAAAAGGAAGTCTGGATAGATTCAACAATAATTTAAAGATTCAACAATAATTTAAAAGATCAGAACATCACACAAGGGGTTCATCATCCACTCTGGCCCAGGGCCTGGGGAGAGAGCCAGGTTTTAAGGGCTTGTTTAAATAGGGCCAGGGCAAGGGGCAAATGTGGCTTTTGCAGACTGATTATTTTCAGAAGCCCTCCAAATTTCTTTTATCACCTGGACTTTGATTTCCTGCGTAAAAATAAACCCTAGTTGAACAATAGCAAAAGCATGTAAGCCCAAGTTTATGTGAGATTTTCACAAAGTGTTTGTTGTATTTAGGATTGTTAATAGTTTAGATTTAGTTTGTCTGACAATGTTTATTAGTGTTTCCAAAATGTCTGTAACTTGAGTATTTCTTGATTTAATGTTTCCATTGAAGAAATCTATCTTTTTTGACTCCCCCACCCCTTCACTTATCAATTGTGTATTCATATTGTGGAGCAAAGACTGCTGTTGCTATATATTCAGTGATCTCCTAATATGACTTTGTTTTAGTAATCCCTTTAATTTATGAGTTACTGGACACATTTAGAGCTTTTGAAATATGTGACAAAACTTACTGGAACATGTGTTGGAATCTTAAATGCATATTATTTTCTATAAATTACTTTTTGCTTGATTTTTAAAATAAAAAGGACAAGAAGAAGAAATATGAACCCCCAGTTCCAACCCGAGTGGGGAAAAAGAAGAAGAAAACAAAGGGACCAGATGCTGCCAGCAAACTTCCACTGGGTAAGCATTCCTGGTTTGTGCCATCTTCCTGAGTAGCCATAACTAAGTTGCAGGTTAGGCTTTTCTGCATGCAAAAGGCCCCCAGTTCATACTTGGACATCTTAGTTTTCCAAGCTCTCAGCTTGAAACATTGAAGGGTTACAGAGTAACTGAACTAGGTTGCTCAATGGTTTGTTCTGAAATAAGGCAAAAGCTTATATACTTTCACCTTCAGGGTATTGTATCATAGATCCAGAACATTAAATCATAGAGTTGGAAGAAGCCGGTTTGATGTTCAGTCAGCTGCCACTTTTTAAAACTGATTTCAGGAATTAATTTTATTTTACAAACATAAAAACATAATTTCTCTTTCCTTGGAACAAGATTCAGTCCTCTTAAGAATTTCTTTAAATCCTGTCCTTGGAATTTGTTCAGGCCCACATTTGTAGCTACATCAGTTCTGTGCAAGAAGGCAGCTCTTCCCATGAAAAAGCAGTGCTGAAAGTAATAGGAAAAAGAAACATCCCAGACAAAAGACAGGAATTTCAAAATCATTTTAGTTCACAGTCCCTTCCTTCAACTCACCTACATAAGCTGAATATATTACTCTAGACCCTACATTTAGAAACTCTTTTATTTAATTGTAGTCACTCCTCATACTCAGTGCAGACTCAAATTATTGAAGCTGGAGAGAATTAAGGATTATCTTCTGATGGAGGAAGAATTCATTAGAAACCAGGAACAGATGAAACCTTTGGAAGAAAAGCAAGAGGTATGCTTTGAGTAGAAAAAAAGCTGCTTGAATTCATCTTAGGTTGTGTTCTTTGGTTATCAGCTTATTTCTCCTCTATTTTCCACCTTCTAACTCTACTTCATTCATCTAGCAAAACAGACTATATGAAAAAGTTCATACCAGAATAATTGTTAACTCCCTAAAACACCATGGTACTCTTTCACATCAGTTGATTTTGAATACACTTTTATCTATTTGTTAGGAACTTTTATATAACTAATGTGAATATAAACTGTAATTTTAATAATACAAAATATAGTTCCTTTATTTGAAAAGACCTTTTAAAAATAGGGTTCAAGAACAGACTAGGATACAGTCTTGGTGATATTCAAAATCACTGATCAGCTCTCAGGATTTTGCAATGGTATTGAATTCAATTTTGCTTTATTATAAAATGAACAAAAGTTGCTTCTGTGTTTTTAAGATTGAACGCATTTTTTTTCAGTTTACTCCAATAACAAGAACTATACATGTTCATATTTTAGGATTTTCTGGAGCAAGAGGCTTCATGTTGCTAATCTGTAGGTGAAATGTCATAAACATTTTAGTTAAAAAAGGCTCAATAGTATGGGATTCCATTTCAGTTGGTAGAGTAGTTTGTTTTGGCACATCTCTATTTCAGGATGGTTAATGAGACCATTCCAAAGGGATCACAAATTTAGTAGTTAAGGAGAAGTAGAGGTTAGTTTGAGTAATAAGATAGTGGCATTGTCTACAGTAAAACCATAAAAGAGCCTAAGCAGAATCTGTGAATTCTATTATTCTGTTCCAACAACATTGGCCAGCCATATACTTAGTCAACTCTTTCATTCTGCTGACCACCATAAAGTCTGCCATTAGGTAATGCAGATTTTGTTTCACTTAGTACCTAGTTATAGTTAAATGTCTTTATTACATTTATGTATTGATATATATTCATCTACTAAGTGCCATTTAAACATTCTTTCCTCATGGGTTGGAAGGATCTCTTTTAGTCTAACTCATTTAAATAATTTGGTATCATCAAATAATTTGGCTGTAATCTTGCTGACTTAATTCAGATAATTTAAGTCCCAGTCCCATAGCCAATCCTTGTGGGAACCTCACTATTTTCATTCCTCTATTATGAGAAAGGCAGAAATCAACCAGACCCAGTTTGATAATGGAGGTTGTTATTATCAGTTGAAGATTTTAACTGGTTACTGAGAATGTAATTAAAGTAGCATTTGTTTGAGGTCCATACCCTCTTAATATGAGAATACGTAGCCATTTCCTCTGTATTGGGATTGTTGAGGATGCCACCAAATTGGTACTTCTTGATTGTGTAATAGACATAGAAATCGTTGGGATGTATGGCAATTTGTAATACATGATTATAGTGTCTTTTTTGTGCTTGTTTGCAGGAAGAGAGGTCAAAGGTGGACGATCTGAGAGGGACTCCAATGTCTGTAGGAACACTGGAGGAGATAATTGATGATAATCATGCTATTGTGTCCACATCAGTGGGATCAGAACACTATGTCAGCATTCTTTCTTTTGTAGACAAGGATTTGCTAGAGCCAGGATGTTCAGTTCTACTTAATCATAAGGTAATTGTTGCTTTCTTTGCCTGCCTGTGATTGAAAGCACTGAAAACAGATAAATGTTATGAATATCTTTATATCTAAAGACTTTCAGCTTGATCTAGACAATATGATCTCCCAGAACAGATTGCATAAGACCAGTAACAACCAGGACATTCCTTCCTCTAGAGATAAAGAGAAGAAGAAGCAATTCAGGCACCTATTTTTAAATTATAAACTTCTTACAGTAAGCATCTTTAAAAGAAACAATTAATGGAAATTTGCTGAGTGGAACCAGTTGCCCAACTAAGCCAATATGGCGGTCCTGTTAAGTTTCTTGCCGTTCCTCCAGCTATATGCTAGGTTTGCAGCTTGCAAGTTTCAACTCTTTTGTTTCTTTTGGTTGTGATGATTTTTTTTTAAAAGCTACAAACTCAGCAAAAATTTTAAAAAACCTCTGTAGGAGAGTTGATAATGCCCCCCCCCACCCCTGGAAACTAAATGAAGCAAGTTAAGCTGTAATTCTGAATTTTTGTTGATTTTTTTTGTTCATTCTTGGACAAAAAGCCATAAATACAAATGATGAGAGGATCATCATTTGTCTACTTCTCTGTCTCTACACTAAGACATATGAGTCACACCGAAGTGTCAGTTGAGACCAAGTCTGTCTGCTGACCTGTAAAATTATTTGTATTTGTGTGGCCTGAGTCATTACATGGAGAATATAAGATGTGACCCAGCTTGTCCACAATGTTCGCTCATCCCTCCCAAAAAGGGTTGAGGTATGTCCCCATAACTATCAGATTTGCCAGGAAGCCTTCCCTTTTCTCTGCAGTTTAGAAAAGGAATTGGCATCATCCTGTTTACATTTATCAGAAGCCACAGAGTGCAAGTCTCTGAGAAATAGATTTCAGGAGCTGAATTTGACCATGTGAAATGGCCTATCAATCTGTAATAATGCCAGGCCTGTAATAGGGCAAGGGCTCAAATGTTTTCCTGCTTTGTTTATTTGATGCTTCTGCCCATTACTTTTAACAGGTCCATGCTGTGATTGGTGTCTTGATGGATGACACAGATCCTTTAGTTACAGTGATGAAAGTGGAAAAAGCCCCACAAGAGACATATGCAGATATTGGGGGGCTTGATAACCAAATTCAAGAAATCAAGGTATTAATATTTCTAGCATTGTCCAATAGTGGAAAAAATGCCAGAACATTTTATTATTAGATGATTTCTTAGAATAGTAATGCTCCTATTTCTGTTCCAGGTGACTTTTATTTAAATGACTTTAGTATTTTGCTCACTTCAGTATTTCTAATTCAAGATTTTTATATACATTATACAAATGCTTTGTTGTAGTTGTATTGAATTGCAAAATATTTAAATGGAAGGCTAAAAATCTCAAACCTCCTCTCCCAGAAGTCCTTTGAATCTTCACACTTTCCTGTTTCTTACTTGGGGTAAGCAGCTTGATCATTCCCACCACCAACATCTGTCCTCCAGCGAGATCCTCTTGTGCCCAGGGACTACATGCATATATTTTCCATTCATACAAGTGTTTGTAGCTCCCATGCTGAGATACGTTCATTAACCCAGCACCACAGAACTTCCCACATTTAACAGCCTGAGTTCTTAAGTCAGCTCTGATCTCTAGGTATGTCTGTCAAAATCAACCCAAAAAACTCAGAGGAAGTTTCTACCAAATGTTCATCCCCAAACACCCCAAGAATTCATTCAGGAAATCTATTTCCAAGATACCGTATATTTGTTTGGTTAGCTCTACAAAATCTAACCCCAGGATATTCACAGTGATCTCCCTGCTAGTTTAGTCTCGTGATACCATGCAGATTCCATCTAATCCATTTCATTCCTTCTCAGTATGGCCATGCCACAGTATTCAAGCCATATCCCGTTAAGAATCAGACAAAGCTTGACCTTATAGCTCTAGTTTTTGTTTTTACTTAAAGTTTAATAAATAGTTATAAAATTAAACATCTAAAGTTAGATAAATAATTGGAAACCTCAACATCCCAATCTAAGGGAAAGGAAAGGGAAAGGGAGTAGGGTATAGGGAAATGTCTTTCAAGATATTTCTATGATGGAGCGTCTAACATTCAGCATTCTGATATTTTCACCATTCATTGTACTTCACTGATCTCTCTGACGCAGGATTAGGGAGAGGAAAGGTGCTTGGGAGAGCAGGAAGCAATAGGCTGATTTTTCCTTGGAGGCCAGTTGCCTTCTTTGCTCTAATTACGCCTCTCCTTTAAAGCTTTAGAATGTAACTTCATTTGTCTTATTTCAACCCATCCTTCTCCCTGGTTTCTAACATCTTTTTCTTCTTTCCACATAGCAGTTCCCCATCTGGCATCCTCACCCTACCCCAACATGGAAGAAAAATAATATTCTTACAGCATCTACTGCCTTTCTGGCTAGAAATGCCAAAAAAAGTGAAATAATTCTAGAGTAGCAGCTTTCTGGCCATGTAGCATAAAGATGTGTGACTAGATGATTCAGCCCTTCCTTCCCTCCTTGAGAGATTGATCAATCTCACCAGAAATAAATTTTATTGATTCTGTCATTTATCTTTACAGCTCTGTAATTTCTCTTTATCAACACTATTTGCATTTTGAATTATTTTTTGTTTTCAAATATTTTGTGACTGTAATAAGGCACATGTACGGTGAAAGCCAGGAACAGCTTTTGAAGCAGCTGTGTAAGCCATGAAAAAATGGCAGTGTTAATTATTTGAAGTTCACATTATTCAAATGAACAATAGATTTGAGCATGAAACAGTTACTCCAAAGTAGAAGCATTGCAGGTTAAAAGCTACTATGTGTTCATCCCCATGAATGGCATGCACATTGTATTTATTAAATTTTAATATTAGCCATAAGGGCAAAACCTTGATCTGTGATTTTCTAACTAGGAGGAGCCTTAGGTTGACAAAAGGATTGATCAGCCCTTTGAAGGTATGTGTAATTTCTTCCTTGTAGGAATCTGTGGAACTACCTTTGACTCATCCTGAGTATTATGAAGAAATGGGAATAAAGCCACCCAAAGGCGTCATTCTGTACGGGCCGCCTGGCACAGGTAATATTATTTTTCTTGTATTTTTATATCAGTGTGTGGAATTAATACATTTATTACATAAAAATATATTGAAGTGTTCTATGTCAATGAGGCCAATCATCCTGCTTTGGCATATATCTCATCGTATTGACTGAAAGTTGTAATGCTGTTCTTGAAATTGGTCTTTATGATTTGATGGTCTTCAAACATTATTGATGAAGAGCTAAAGCTTAATATACTTACATCCAGCTGCCTCCATCAGAAAATGTTAGCGAAGAGAACAGACAGTTGTTTTCAGAATATGTGGTGCTGTAACTAACCCAAACTAGTATATCTCAAGGAGTGGTATGGGTTACTAGTGACAGAAATGAAGAAAGTTCCCATGAAGGAAAGAGAGCATAGCAGCTAGTCTCCAGTAGAGCAAGAACATTGTAGCAGAATATTTTTTTGATGTTCCAGGCTTGAGCATCAATGAAAAACTTGAACTTAAGAGCCAAAGTCAGATCTCTCCCATTATTCAGATGTATTTTTTGGCTTAGGCTTAGGGGAAGACTCCTTCCTCAGTAAGTAATGCTACTTCAGTTCCTGTAAGCTTTCACTGTTTTACAGTTATAAGAAACAAAATGGTCAACATAATTACAGCAATTTTAATCACCTTAAAAATTACTATGACTGATAAATACCATAACAGAATAGCTGTAAGCATGCTTTTTGCTTCTACCTTAGTAGGACCTAAATTGTTTGATAAAATGATTGTGAACTTAAAATGTGCAAGGTTAGAACCACTGATCAATTCAGTATCTTAAGTAAATTGATATTTAATAAATCTGTATTCATGATGGTTTATTTTCATTTTGGCTATCTGTCCAATTTATAGAAATTGGTAATCAATATCATTTATGATTGGTTGTCTCACAATAATACCCAGATACTTATTAGGTCCATTCCATAGATTGCTCAGGGCCCAATTAGGCTTTAATTCTTCAACTTTGTAAGAAAGGGAATCAGTCAGACATGTGAATCCATCCTGCCTTCCCTACCTATACTGTGGGCAAATTTATCTAGGGAAGCATGGTGTGTTCATGGGGAATCAGAAGACAAATACCTTATTGAGCCAAATCCGATTTTATTATCTGTTTGGGAAATGATAGTGCTAGAGATATATGTTTGTGTGTACATGTGGAGAAAGTAGATAGCAAAGTGGTATGTATGAATCAAAATCTTTCCCCACATATTAGGTATAGGAAATTATGAGAAATGTCTTTGAAAATTAGGACACTACAGATGATTCTGCATCCCAAATGTTTCAGAAATTATGCTTTTCATATTAATTTGCACAGACATAGCGTGCGTGATCTGCCAGTCCCTTGATGTTGAAACTGCTGTCTTTTGGGAAAGTATGGTTGATTTGGTTAGTTCATTCTATTATTTTCATTGCATAGAATCACCATGTAAGAATAAAATAATTTCATCTCCAGATATGAAGGTGACAAATAGTACTTTCTGAGCATCTTTTTAAATTGACAGGAAATCAGTTTGTCTGTTGCTGCTTTTCCTCCTGCACTTCAGACAGTGAATTCAAATAGCAAAAATCTGATTCAAGCATGTAAAATATTTCCAAGGTATAACTCCATTGTTTATTGGCTTAAATATCAAACTTGATCTATAATAGGTAGATTGAGGACTTTTGTCAATAATTTGAATTGCATGATTGCTTTCATGCATGTATATGTAATACAAGTTAGAGCATGTGCTAACTTTCTGGTGTCTTGTAATTAAACAGGTAAAACGTTATTAGCCAAAGCAGTGGCAAATCAGACTTCTGCCACATTTCTGAGAGTGGTCGGTTCTGAACTTATCCAGAAATATCTGGGAGATGGTCCAAAGCTTGTTCGAGAACTATTTCGAGTTGCTGAGGAGCATGCCCCATCAATTGTCTTCATTGATGAAATTGATGCCATAGGTACCAAAAGGTAAGGCATCATAGTCACTCCGTGCCAAGCATTACGTGCATATCTGTTAACAGACACTTTTCTTTTTTAAAATCTGGTTTTCACTCATAAGACTTTGAGTCACTAGAAGTGGTTTGCATGCTGCTATCTTCAACTGTAAGAAAATTGTCAAACCCTTATTCCTGTAAGGGTATATCTGAAGAATTACTGATGAGAATTAGTGCTAGCTTGTTTCAGACTAAACCATCTCAGCTAAACCATTTGTTTAATTTATAAGATATTTAACTGTTATTGCTAGAACCTGAAACTTTTTAAAAACAAAAGGAGTAGGGCTAATGTGGAGCAGGTAGCCAAAAAGCAATTTTTCTTTTTCCTAAATTCAGATTCAGCAAAGTTTTCCCCCAAATAATTATTTGTAAAGTATTATATAATTATTACTGTGTTTCCTTCCTGCATTTTCTTTTGGAACTTTTCAAGACTAGGAACATTCCTTTAATTTTATCCCAACCCACAACCTTGTGAAGTAGGTTTGATTGAAGCTTGAATCTGTGTTTGTCTGAAAGACATGCAGGGGTTGAGTGGGGGATTTGAATGTGGGTCTTTCTAGTCCCCATCCAACATATTAATCATTACACTGCATTGAGGGAATTATTTTATGTTTGCAGACAGTAAAGTACTAGAAGCAAGAAATGGGCCTAAAAGGTGAGAGAGAGAAGTACCTTGTTGGATATACTTCGTAAAAGTGAATAGTTGGAAGGGAGGAGGCAGGAGAAAGGGAAAACCTGTTGTGATTACTTCTGCCAATCAGTGGAGTTATTGAGAGTATCGCTCCAATACTCTGGTTTCTCTGTTTTATTACACGGGAAAGTATCCATCCTCCCTCTTGAATGTAGAAGACTGTTGCTGGATTTCATAACATTCCTGGAGGATTAGAAGTCCAAAGCACACTTACCTGGGAGTAGAAACCATTAACTTCAATGAAGTTTACTACAGATTAAGTTTGCATAGGATTCCATTTGCCATTTTTCTTTTCTTCCTTTCCCATCACCCATATTCATTCTGTTTTCTCCCTATCTTTTTTTTCTGCTTCTGCAGAGTATGTGTACATGTGTGTGGAAAAGAGAATTGTTTGTGTGTTTATGGAGATGGAGGAACAGCCTTATGAACAAGTGTTTTATTTTACAGGCAGTTAACTTTAATTTGTTACTGATTCAGTTAATATTTATTTAATATTTTGTGGCTTTGTCCTTTTTTTGGAGTTTGGTCTCTCACAAATATGTGCATGCATACATAAAAAATGTCATATACAGTCAGGTCCAGAAATATTGGGACATCGACACAATTCTAACATCTTTGGCTCT